TTCACGCAGCCTTGTAATTATTTTGTATCAGCATAGTACGCGTGGTACGTAATCTCAGACTCGGGCTTTCTCCGAAACCATATCAAGAATGCGTGTCTGCCTTTCTCAAATAGCGTCTGGTCTCGTCCATTTCTCTCTCCGGTTATGCAGAATTATGTAATTGATTTACTGCTTAAATGTGAATCGACTGAAGCTTCCGTGGAGTCTGAAAGAATCGGTATAATAGGCTTAAGTGGATTGACTCATTGTTGACGTGCTTTTGCTATTAAATCAAAACTCATTGTAGATCTTTAAAACACTGAAAAGAAATAGACAATCAGATGATAAAATACGAAGAAAGAAAGTATACTCGTTTGGGACAAATCTTCAAAGTGAATTTTGAATAAGTTAACCTTAACCAATTGAGCTGAAGTTTGTATATGCGTTTGGTTCGCGTGACAGTACACAAAATATAGATTTACAATAAGCAAAGCGACGTCTGGTGGCGGTTATAATTCCCATGGTTACCCCTATGATATAGGTATCAAATTAAAGGGTTTGATGAGAGATATCTAACACGCAACGTGACGTCATTCTAGGGGCCGTTCAAGTATTACGTAAGCAGATTTATTACAATTATTTACCCCCCCATCCCCCTCGTCAGCAAAAGTAAGCAAAGCTCTTACCCCTCCCCCCATGCTTACTCAAACATTTGTCAATTAATGTATTGTTTTTTTAATATTATAATTATAACGTTATAATTATAATTTGAAAAATAAGAAATAGATTTAGGATAGAGATTATTATTTACTGTTACGGTATTCTACATAAAGTAAAGGACAAAAATATGATATCTTACTACATAACAAACTTATTTTAAATTTTTGGTACATATATTAAATTCAAATTTAGTCTTCAGTCCATGAAACCCGAATCCATGATTCTAAGTTTTCGATGACATTGGATTGCTTCGATTGCTGCTCAGTGTTGTGAGTTTGCTGGCTTTCATCGGATTTTGGAATGTCTACGTCGTTCTCATCGAGCCATTCAACATCATGGTGCTCTAAATTTTGAATAATGCACATCAGTTCATTAGCAAGACGAGCAGCGACTCTTACAGGTCTTAACTTTCCTATCAGTGTGCGTGTTTACTTTTTTATGGATATTTTCGATGTGACGATTTAGTGATTTGAAGGAAGCATGATAAAGACCACATGTTTTGCATGTTCGACTTGATAGCCTCAATTTTACCGTCGGACAAATATAATCGTAGGGCATTTGCAGGAAATCTTTGAGTGAAGCACTTAAGCGTAGAGCTAAATTGACTGGAAGATTAAGAAATTGCCCTCCTTCATCCAAAACCAAGTCATCAACTGTTGTTTTAATTTTACAGGTGGTGGAAGAACCTATTGTCTAGTAATCTAAATAGGCCACTTCTTGGACGACAGCATTCTGTATTTTTACATTTTACAATTTGAAGCAAGTATTGGCTCTCACGCACATGTTCTGAAGACCATTTAATGTCTGGAAAATCAGGAAGATCTTGTTCACCTGCCCCAACATATTTTGCATTAACATTATAGCCATCAATTTCCATTGAACTCCATACTTCTGCTAATACATTCCTGCAAATTCGAAATTAGATCTTTCTAAATGTTCATCAATTGTAACGCCACGTTCATCCAAATGAGACCCAAAATGGTCATGAGGCAATATTAAACCAGCCAGTTCCCGACCAAGAGGAACCATTCTGCGCTCTACTCTGTTATACGCACTTCTTCTAGGAGCATTGGTAGCTAAAAACAATGCATCGAGATCACGTCGCTTAAAGTGTTGTCTAGCAAACCCTATGAGTTTTTTATAACGTGGATTTTCATCTGGCCCTCCATCAACCGTCATGATTATCACTGGTTTTACTAGTCCATAGTCCAGTTTTAGCTAATGGTCGAAAATCTTCCAGTTCGAGAAGCGTCTCGAAATCCGAGCATGAGTATTAGCAGTAGATGAACTATGATTTGCATGAGTATTAGCAGTAGATGAACTATGCTTTCCACTTCGAATAGCGATGTATGTTGGTCCAGAATATCCAACGGCTTGCGGTTGTCCTAGCATATTGACAGTGATTTTGATACCAGCATAAACAGATGGTATTCATTTATGACGCTCATCGATTACCCAATCGTGATCAGGCAATTTGATTCTATATTGCATGTGCATTAGAAGAGGTGCTTGCTTATTTGCCGCAGTTACGCCAATAGGGACTCGAGCCTTATCATCTTGAGATATGAAAAATACTTGATCTGGTCCAAGTATGGATGCTATGTTCTCTATATAATGGATTGATGTTTCAGCGAGCTTGCTATCTAAGTGGCTCTTGTGGTGATCAGTTTGAGCCCGAATGAGCTTAACAGGGACTGTCGATACATGTCTTCGTCCCTCTGCAGAATTAGATTTTCTGGGAATCAAACGAAGATATGTCCCACTGCGACTAATGTCAAATCCTATTTTACGTAATTCTTGTGTGGGTTCATCAAGAGTTTTTACGCTGCAAATTGATTCCGTTCGTCTTCTATCATCTGCTGCACTCCCAAATAAAGCCATGTCCGCGATTGTTTTCAATAGTGAATGTTGATTGCTTTCAAGATTAGGACGTCCCACTGAATCCCTCAGAGATAGTCTTTTTTTTATTTCTGGATTTTCATGACAAATATCTAATAACTTTCTTTTCATACCATACCTGTGTTTCTTCTGGGCAACTGCGTTTTGAACCTTCCTGTTTAAAGACTGTTTTGCCGTTTTTATTTCCTCGCGCAACTTAATGATCTGTTTATCAACTTCAGCACGGCTTGGCATAGTATCTCTGGCAGAATGCAAAGCATTCAGATTTTTTCGATTAGAGCAATCTTATTTTCATAGCTTCCTGAGATGGTTTTGCTCTCTGTTTATGTGTATTTTCATTAATTTCGCATTGCTGTTGTGATTCATTACCGGGTTTTATTTTATCTTCTTCCTCTTTTTTAATATTTGAAGCTGACTGTATAATTTGTGTTTTTTTCTGCAGGTTTACAGGTTGCCTAAAAATAAAAACTTTCTATGGCTCCTGCTAAAGATTCTCTTATTAAGCTACATAAATACAAAGTATGGCAATCTATATATGGTAAATACAAAACTCTATGGCTTTAAATATAATATGTTTAAACGAGCAATTCGTTCCGGTCACAAAATACAGGGTGTTAGTTTTCTGTATATATGTATAAAACTAACATCCTGTACTTTGTGACCAATTGACGGAATCAATCATAAGAAATAAATCTACAATACTCGTATAATGAATATTACCTCTATACTTTGAGATAGGCCATAATATTTTCTAATCAGTAAAGAGAAACTTTTTGGCGATTTCTAATATTCCTGGTACTCATAGGTACCTAAAATGATTTCGTCACTCACCTTAGAAAAAAAAAATTAGTAGATTGGATTTATTCTTAGTCGCCGCTTGCAATTCTTCTTCGATTCGCTTAGATACAAAAATATCTAGTTCCTTGTCGGATTTTACTTGTAATTTGTAATTTCGCCACACTTGGTTGACTAACTTTTGTACATTTTGTACTTTCGTACTTGTATGAGATTTTTTAAAACTTTCAAACAATTTTGGGTATAACTTGGATTTGTCTATGTGAAACGACATCTTATTTAAACATTAAACTTTGGCTAATGGAATCAATGGTAAGACAAATGTTAACTTGCTTTACCATGCTTACAATACGTTTACTCGCTATAGTATCCAACGAAATAATACACTTATAGAGGAAATTTAGGCAAGTGAACACCGCGCGGTAATTCCCCTACTCGGTTCTAAAGCGAGTAGGGGAATTACCGCGCGCTGTGCACGAAACGTATGCACCGCTCACACCTATGGATCGGAAGTTTTTGACTGAATTTTTGATGGCAGGTTTTGTCAGTTCTCGTTCATAGACTGCTACTTAGGGAGGCACAAAACTGATAATATAAAACTTGCAAGATACATTGCTTGATATCTTAGAGATCTGAGTCATAATAATAACCTTACAATGCCTTTGCAGTACACAGCACTGTTTTAAAAATGTTTTAGTTTCAATGGAGTGATGTTGTCCAACTCAAGCAACCCTGCCTGTAGAAACAAAAGTATTATTCAGGAAGGTGGTTAAACATCAGCTGTGATTTTTCCTTTTGTTTTTTCGTCGAATCATTATTGGTTCTCATTGGTTCCCTTTTTGTAAAGCAACCGAGGGTGGATTTGTCAATCGAATTTTTTTTCCACTTTTTCATTAGTGCACTCATACTATTATTATCATCATTATCATTATTATATTCATCCATTGCTCCAATTGTACGCTATTTAATAAAATAATTTTCATTTTAGTTGTCCTACTTGTCACTAAACAATTGATGGAGTAATTAATGTTCAGCTATCATCTCTATCCATGTCAAATGACGATAACGGCGCTTCTGGCACATTATACACATATCATGCATATAACAGTCCACATGATGTAATATATCTGCATAATTAGATTGTTCGCTTTATTGAATTATAACGTTCTATCTTGTAATCGTTTTCATCAAATTGGTATTAATACTGATGAGAGATATCAGAGGCTGTGTTTTTGAAATCGGTGGTGTAACTCGAACACGAAAAGATAGCGAATGACAGCTTACCACGTTACAGTGGGTTGAGATCACGAAGACCCTTTTGACATTTTGGACGCATGTATTTTCTTGAATGATACACAGGATGTTTTCAAAGTTGAGTCATTTATTTGAACAGTTTGTAGAACTCGTCAAAAGAAGTTGATATACCGAAGATAATCTATATAAAAGTTGCATCATAAGAGAGATAGTTTACGTTTTTGAAAACGTTTATTATAAATGGATACCGTTTTTTCAAAAACTTTTCATAATTGTCCCCTTTGTTGGATTGAACCTTTCCGCGTATAACCTGCATGCTGCATTTTGTTGGCACTCTCCGTATGTTAGTATTACGAGGGATGTATTTTAAGTTTTGCATATGGAAATAAAACAACACGGTAGGTAGTTTTAAATGACTTTATTGTTTTTCGAAGTATTCTCCACGAAGATTAATACACATCTGCATGCGCTCTAAAAAATTTTCGAAGCACTTATTCCACTCGTTTGCTGGCAGATCCAAAATGGCATTTTTGAATGCGTCAACTGCTTCTTCTGGTGACTGGAACCTTTGACCACGCAGTCTGTTTTTAATTTTCGGGGAAGTAAAGAAATCGGTAGGACTTAGATCGGGATTATATGGAGGATTGTCCAGTAATTCCACGTTTTCTTCCGTTAAATACTGCCTTGTTTTTTGGGCGGTGTGCGAACTTGCATTGTCTTGGTGGACGGTGATTCTTCTTGCGGGGTTGATTTTTCGAAGCTCGGTGATGACTTTTGGCAAACAAATGGTGGTATACCAATCCGCAGTAACAGTTCTTTGCTGATTAAGAGGAATTGTTGCAATATGACCCGCTTTTGACACAAATGTCGCGACCATATTTTTCGAAACACTTCAAGAACGGATGACTTTTGTTGGTTTTGCTTCACCTTGGAACACCCAAACACCCGACTGTCGTTTATTTTCTGGTTCATAACAGTAAATCCACGATTCATCACCACTAACAATGCTGTACATTTTTTGAGTTTCCGGAATTGAAACGACCAAGCGTTTTTTGACACCAATTAACCTGGCTGCTTTCTGCTGTTCAGTCAACAGGTGGGGTATCCAACGAGAAACTGATTTTCTTGTTTTTTGGGCGGTGTGCGAACTTGCATTGTCTTGGTGGACGGTGATTCTTCTTGCGGGGTTGATTTTTCGAAGCTCGGTGATGACTTTTGGCAAACAAATGGTGGTATACCAATCCGCAGTAACAGTTCTTTGCTGATTAAGAGGAATTGTTGCAATATGACCCGCTTTTGACACAAATGTCGCGACCATATTTTTCGAAACACTTCAAGAACGGATGACTTTTGTTGGTTTTTGCTTCACCTTGGAACACCCAAACACCCGACTGTCGTTTATTTTCTGGTTCATAACAGTAAATCCACGATTCATCACCACTAACAATGCTGTACATTTTTTGAGTTTCCGGAATTGAAACGGCCAAGCGTTTTTTGACACCAATTAACCTGGCTGCTTTCTGCTGTTCAGTCAACAGGTGGGGTATCCAACGAGAAACTGATTTTCTTACTCCTAATTCGTCATGTACAATTTTTTGAATTGAGGTATTTGAGATCTTCAAGGACGCCTCAATCTCGCGATATGTCACATGTCTATCTTCAATGATAGGTTTGCGCACAGCATCGACGTTTTCCTGGTTGACTGCTGTTTTTGGTGCACCCACCCTGGGATCGTCGCTAGAACTCACCCGTCCACGTTTGAATTCTCCATACCAACGGGAAATTGTCGACTGATGTGGCGCTTGGTTTCCGAAAACAGACAGTAACTCAGCAAGGCATTCTTGTTGCGATAATTGTCTCTGAAAGTTGTAATAAATTATGGCGCGAAAATGTTCTCGGTTGAGTTCCATTTTTCTAATGACTTGGTAACACTTAAAAATTCATTGTAGTGAGAACACTGCACGTATTGTTGTGAAAGTTTGAATTTGAGTTTACTAAAGAGTGAGGTTAAGATTCAGTACTAACGTTTGATCCGCGCGGCCTACTATGTTTCTATATGCAAAACTTAAAAGACATCCCTCGTATATCCACAAGTTTTCGTAAACATGGCCCATTTTTATTTGCACAAAATAATCAGACAATGAAAGTATACGCACTATTGAAAGACAAATACAAATATATACAAATGATCGAAGAAACGACTTGTACTGACAAACCATACAATAACACAAAAGATTGCCAAATTTAGATCAACGATAAGAGTAGTAAACAAAAAACGCCAAATTTTTACACGGCAGTGATCGAGAATATAAAAAAATATTTGTAATAACATTTTTATTTTTTAAAATTTTTAATCTTCTATTTCTGTTATTATGCAACTTTTATATAGGTAATTTTTGGCTTTTGGCTACTTAATTCATTTGAAAACTAACATCCAAATACTCATTTTTGATGGCAATAGATTAAGCAAATAAAACAATATAACAAAATAATAGGAATTATGAAATTAAAGGGTCAAAAAATATTGGCACACTAAAATCTTTTAAATTTAAATTCATTATTTACTGCTAAATACAAACACTGTGTCTGTTTGCAGGAGTAAAAAACTAGACATTCATCAGCAATACAAAAAAGGAAAAAAACAAGAACAACATGAAAAAATATACAGAAGTAAAAAAACACCTTTACATTCACAATTTTTTGAAAAAGCACGAATACGAAATAAATAAGATCTACTGAAATTCAAAATGTACTCCTAGAATTCAGCATATTTAAGTGATTCAATGTTATGTTGACGCAAACTTGGTTAACGTATAAAGGACGTTAATCTTATTGAATCTTGAAAATTAGTATAATTCGAAAACGGCTAATTTTCGGACAGTAATTCCTATAGTAAAATCGACTCAGAATGGCTTGTACTATCTCCCCCTACCGGCTCCGCATCTATTTTCCCGTCACCCTGTATATATACAGGGTATACGCAAAGTTGGGGTTTTCCTTTACACGACGTGTAGATCTTGAAAACATAAGCAATTTTTCTTAGTACCATATACACCAATGTCTTAAGGGAACCGAGATAAAGGGCTCTGCAACATCAAATATATCTGAATACCGTCCTGTAGCCGCGACTCGCGACATTCCCAATTGGTACTAGGACACTAGCTCAACCCGACGACAGAACTGGGTCGGAGTCAGTGTGTCAGGTCAGTATGCAACCTTCAACCGACGGTTACGGTCACGCGTGTAGAGGTAAACGAACCCGTATAATCGATTGCGTTTCAAAAAACAACAAGCACTAGAGACGTGGCTAGAGAAGTGCAAGTATCAAAAACTAAAGTGTGGCAAACGCTGCGTGAAGAGGGGCTGTATCCGTTTCACGTCCAACGTGTACAAGCCCTTCAACCTGACGATTTTCCAGCAAGAGTGCGGTTTAGTGAGTGGTTGTTGCATCAACATGACAATAATCCGGACTTTTTGAAGTGCATATTGGTGACAGACGAATCTACGTTCACGCATAATGGGGTGAATAACTTTCGCAACACTCATGTTTGGTCAGTAGAAAATCCGCTCGCTGTCCGTCGGGCACATTTTGAACAAACATTTTCGGTGAATGTTTGGGCTGGCATGGTGAACGGTATGCTCATTGGACCATTTATTCTCCGAAATCGATTGGACGGGATGCAATACCTAGACTTTTTACGCAACATTTTGCCTTCCTTGTTAGAAGATGTGCCATTAAGTGTAAGACAATCAATGTGGTTTCTGCACGATGGTCATATTTGTTACCTCTGTTCGTGGTCTGCACCACCGCCGGCGTCTGCTCGGTAGCGCATCAGCTGATTTAATTTTCTGTTGGAGCGGTATGATTTCGGGCAGAGACGTACTTAGCCCTTCTCGTCAACTGGAGAGCGAGTACTTTTTCCTTTATTTTTTTTTACTTGGTCGCCCTTGTTTCACTACACATTACCTTTGTTATTTCAAGGGTAGTTGTTTCTGAAAAGGAACACCCCAACTTTGCGGACACCCTGTATATACAGGGTGTCCTGAAAAAAGTGTGCAATATTCTACCAGCGATTTCTAGAGCTTAAAATAGGAAGAAAAGTTTTTATAAACATAGGTCGACAAACGTCCCCTAAAGGCGCTACGGTCTTTTAAAGGGGCTCCCCTGAAGATGGTTTTTCCTTAATATTTCCGAAACGTGTTGAGATAAAGACATAAAATTTGGTATACTAGCCTAGTTTTTTATGCTGGATTTAAAAATATTAACAATCTTAGACAGTTTTGTTTGGAAGCGTATGTAACAGGGACGGACTCAGGTTATTTTAGCCCTAAAATTTTTGTGTGATTATATTTTTGAAATTCAATTTTAGAATTTGAAAATTTAGGGTTTTCTACATAAAAAAGATACTCTTATTAATGATGATAGGAAATGTACTGCGAATTTAAATAATTCTTGAATAATTATCCGTGGCAACGAAAAAACTAATTTAATAATTGGTAAATATTACATAAATACATATTTCTATTGCAACATAGCTAACATTTAGGCAAAAACAAAAGAAATAAATTTTTTCTACGAGCGAAATTGAAATTTGTTTAAAAAAGAAGACATACAGTTGGATATACTTAAAACTAGATTTACAATAAGTGTTCAAATTAGCCACGTCTCTAGTGCTTGTTGTTTTTTGAAACGCAATCGATTATACGGGTTCGTTTACCTCTACACGCGAGACCGTAACCGTCGGTTGAAGGTTGCACACTGACCTGACACACTGACCCCGACCCAGTTCTGTCGTCGGGTTGAACTAGTGTCCTAGTACCACTCGGGGATGTCGCGAGTCGCGGCTACAGGACGGTATTCAGATATTTTTGATGTTGCAGAGCCCTTTATCTCGGTTCCCTTAAGACATTGGTGTATATGGTACTAAGAAAAATTGCTTATGTTTTCAAGATCTACACGTCGTGTAAAGGAAAACCCCAACTTTGCGGACACCCTGTATATATATATATATATATATATCAAGACAAGAATTGGGCCAAGTAATGAGCCTTGTGGGACTCCACTGTTAACTAGCAGTTGTCAAGAAACTGAACTGTGAAAATATTCAAGTTGTTATCGGTTGCTCAAATATGATGAGAGTTCTATGCTACTATGCTAAAAATGGTAGTATGAAGGTTTATCCAATAGAATTTGATGTTGAACACAGTCAAACGCTGTTGTGACGCCTCGAGATCGGTTTTTAAAAAAGTTTATTTTCGGAAATACAAAACTTAAAAATGTACTTTTACAAAATTATTACAAGATTATTATGATGTTAACAGTACAAAGGCTTAATTCTGACTGACCAAAATGTGTTGAGAACAATAAAGTAAACTCTAGGACTTCTAGGAAATTAGTGGCATGGCCAGCATTATTAATAGCATATCAGCATAAACGCCTGATATAATTTGTTTTTTTTTATATCGAAGCAGCCGCGCAGGCAGAAGCCTAAATGCCGGAACACCGCAGCGGCTATGATGATACCAAAGAAATTTTGATAATACGACTTTTGAACTGCCTAAGGTTAGCAGAACTGGGAAAAGCTTCCTCTTGTAGTTTGTTCCACAATCTCGACGCCCTCGGAACAAAGGAGCGGTCGTATCGGCCGGTTCTGGATGTACGAAGTTCGACACGGTTAGGATGGGATGCCAAAGTCAGGCGGGTCTGTCTGGCAGGCACATCGCGGGGCAGCATAATAGAAGAGAGCTCTGAGGAGCAAAGCCCGTTGGTGTAACGGTAGAAAAGAGCTAGATCGCCGAGCTATAGGCCTGTAGTTGTAAGGGTCGGTCTTAGATCCTATTTTTGGGATAGATTGGACATGAGCAAATTTCCAGTTTTCTGGGTAGGTGCCGGATTCATAAGATATCTGGAAGAGACCCGAAAGAACTGGAGCAAGCTCCACTGCACCCCTTTTCAGTACAATGGCAGGAATCAAGTCCGAAACAGAAGCTTTGTTGATGTCGAGCGACAAGAGCACTCGTATCACGGTCTTATAATAATAATAATAATATATATTTTTTTAATAATAATAATATTTATTTACTCAATGTACAAAGATAACAAACAATATGAGTAAATAAATATAAAATCAAAACAGGCCCAATAGAAGGCATCGCCTGTACATGGACCAATAATTTAAGTTGAAACTGTAGAATGCAAATGACAAAAAAGGACAAAAATTAGCTACAGTAGATTATGTATTTAGTTGATGTTTGTATTTATGAGTTTATGAATTTCAGTCCTAGATATAGAATGTAGCCACTTTTTTAAATTTCTTTTGAAACAATTTCCGAAACGTAAATCTTTTAAGTCTTTAGGTATAATTTCATAAAATTTAGGCGCTAAATAGAGGTATGATCGCTGCATTATAGATTTATGCGGTTGAGGAACTACTGTGCCACGAATTTTGTACCTGGTATAATGATTATGTTTAATTTTTTGGTCGGTGTTTACAAATTTATGGTAGTGAGTGATACTGTGTAAGAAATAAAGCTGTCATATCATACATTCGAACATCTGCGTATAATTTTTCAGTGGGATAAAGTTTCGGTTTTTTAAATATCATTTTTAGAATACTTCTTTGAAAAACATCTAAATTATAGATATGTGAGGAACATGCAGCTCCCCATGCTAATATACCATATGTGAGATGAGGCTCAATCAGTGCATGGTATAATGTTCGAGGATATTTTTCTGTCAATATATTCCCAAGGTATTTAATTTTGTAGGATACAAATCTAACTTTCTTTAAAATATAATTGACATGGATGTCCCATCGTAAGTGAGGATAGAAGACCACTCCAAGGTATTTTATGTTGGGCACTCTATTAATTTGCATTTTTTGATCATTAATGTTGAAGGAGAAATTTG